ACTGAGTAACTTTGATCTTTACACTTTTGCATTTGGTTGAGAAATGAAAGAGTTACCATTTTTGGAAGTTTGAGCTTGAGGTTTATGTTGCTGAAAACTAAAAAATTTGATTTTTCGAAGCAGAAACCGATTTCCCAAAACAGGGTAATCGATTTCCAAGGTTAAATTTTGTTTCTATTTTCTGGATTTTTCACAGTAGAAACCTGTTTCTTGAAATGGGAAAACCGGTTTCCATAGCTGATTTTTGCCTTCCAGCGCCTCTATCAAGCAGATTTCATAAGGGAAACTGGTTCCCCATTTCTGGAAATCAGTTTCCTGAGACTTTTTACCAAAATATTTTCTTTCAATCACTTTCTTTGTTATTTATCTTCAACATTTTTTCAACTTCCCACATGATTTTCAATGAGCAAATCAACTCCTTTTAGCTTGATTTTTTTTGCATGCTACTTAATTTATGTGTGTACTTTGACTATATTTAAAAAATAAAAATATATATATTTTATTTTGATCATTCTATTAAAAAACCCAAGAAACATGTCTTTTATACTTTCTCTTAAGACTTTCTTTTGTTTCTTGGTTGATTTTCTTGATTATTTCTTGATGATTGATCCTACCATGCTACGTTTTGACCCTTGCTTGATAACATGATGTTTGTATACATTTATTACTCCATTGTGTAGTGATTATGTGTCAAAATCTAAGGAAAAGAGATAAATTTTGTTGACTTTATAAGTCATGTGCATATGCATTATCCTTTGTATAAAAATACTTTGTGTGAATGTTCACTCTATGTATTATCATATACTCTAAAGAACCTTTTAACCCTAAAAAATAATTTTTAAAATTTCACCACCTTCGTATAAAAATCTTGACTTTGTGTCATTGTATTTTCAAACTTTCTTTTTTAATCAAATGCCTCAATACACTTAATCTTATCAAAACAATTTCAAAAGATAAAAAGTGACTTAATACCACCCAAATCTTTTGCCACTTTTCTTTTCAATTTAAAACTTTTCTCGAAGAGATTAGATATAAATCTTCTTTATAGTTGAGATATGATTCTCCTATCCCCATAGTAATTGTTGAAGTAAATGTAATTCTTTCCACATGAAGACGTTAGTTAGCAACTTGTTGATCTTTATATCCAAGTTAGTAGCACTTCCTTCATAGTGATGCAAGATTCATCTTCTCATACGTGTGGTGGTATTAGTTGAGCTTTCTCTCTAAAAGATGATAAAATATCTATTCTCTTAAAATCAACCACAATAAACCATTTGTTATTTTTACTATGAACTACGAAGTTTTGATCCTTAATTGGTACGTAGATATAAGACTATGGTTTTCCAAACAAAAATATTCTAAAATATACTTCTTTTCCCATCTCCACACTCATTTAGCAAACAAACAATTTTAAATCAAAAAATAGATATTATAAATGGTTCTTATATAGTACTATAGATACATAGGATGCTAATACTTTCCCTTTATATAACTAACCTCGTATCTTGGATCTCTTCCTTATGCTTTGCTTTTAGTCTTTACTCCTTGTATTGCATGTTAAACAATAGGGTTTCAATCTTTTCCCTTTTCCTTGAAAACAATAAAGTTCAGTGGTGACTTTTTAAGTCTCTGTGAGTTAAGTTTCTCAATAGCTTGATCTCTTCAATTTTTCACCGCGACAGAAATCCAACACAAATACATCGGTCATGCTCATAACATGCATTTAAATTTATCTTATGTACACTAACACATATGCATCTCACGGCGGAATAATTTTATTTTCAAAATGATACCAATAATTGAATCTCATAAATAGAAATAATGCATTAAAACATTAGGCATTAAAGGTCACTCGTCACATAATCTCAAATACAATATAAAATAAAAGAGAGTATATCAAACATCTCTTGAAAACAACATGAGTTCAAATGTTTCCCCGTGTTAGATAACCAGAGCATGACTCACTACCTAAATAAGGATAAACAAAGAAGTAGATCCTCTGACTAATCCTCGCAAGAAACACCACTATCTTCGATACCTGAGCGATGTCGTATAAAAATATAACTCCAATAGAAGGGTGAGAATTTATATCATTATAGAAATATATAATAATAAGTAACGCGTAACATACGGACATCAATTGAATTCATCATATTTCATATAATCATGTATTAAACATTATTCCAATCTAATTCACATGTTTACTTATACAACATTGCTCAATAATCCAAAACTCAAAGATATCAATCACAAATACCACAAATATAACATTCACATTAATGTCACATATTTCACTCCAATTCAACATTTCACGTCGATCCATGTGACTCGAATGGAACTCGATGCAATATATGTGTTGTACCAATTATTATCCTTAACTATTTTTACGTTTAAACCGTGTCCATCCCTCATACAGATAACCACCAAAAAGCTTGTCCCTTAAGCTTCAAATCAATCCCCTAAGTTTGGGACAAGTCACTAGCTTCCAAGAAACTAGTAAATATTACCTCTTGACAACAAATGATGCATGCGCAATCTCAACAATCATATGCAATTAAGACCATCACTCAATCTTAATTATACAAGCATACATCACATAATTCATCACATTTGAATTATCATCACCATTGCACAAACATACATATCTCATGTTATAAATCACATACAATGCATTCTCATAGCATTAATCAACTCAACACACCACAATAACACATAGCAAATAATGCCAAAACACGTTATTCTCATTCATCACCAATTCACAACATACATATACACAAAATCAAGTGTTATATTTTCATCAAAAAGTCATCCAAAACTTATCCAATACACATTTAATAAATTATTAAAATTCATAGAAATCCGTTATAAATCATAAGCATACAAGATCCTCAATCAATTTAACAAAATTATAAAATTTCACATTGCAGGTCGCACTAAGCGCTCTCAAGTTAGTAGCTTTCGCGGTAAGCACGGAAATCTGCGTTAAGCGTGCTCTGCGATTTCTGCAAAATGCATTATGCGAAGACAACATTACACCGGTCCGAATTTTAACTTCAAAAATTCATTTTATCACCCAAGTTTCTACAATTTATGGTATTAAGATACATACCTAACATGTAATTTCTATTTAGAATATCCGAACATGATTCAAACATCAATTTCATAGATTCCACTCAAAATATTAACATGTTAATATCTAGAAATAGAATAACAAAATCCCTAAATCATGTAGCTACCCATTACATACATCATATATTCCATAATCAAATGAGAATCCAGAATTACCTTGGATGTAGATCTTTTTCTAGGGTTCTATCTTCTTCCTCTTCTCTTTTCTCTCTTTTCTCTTCTTTTCCTCTTTCTTCTCTTCTCTTGTTTTGACAACTTCTGTCTTACTAACTCTATTTTTTCTTGTTTTATCAAAACCTATATTTCACTAATGGGTTTAATGTCTCATTCTTATACTAACACATCATACCAAGGCCCAATTAATTAATAATGTTATTCTCACATCCAATAACTTCATACACATATAACACATATATTCGCCAAATCACAATAAATTAATTACTATATCATATAATAATTAATAAAACAAATAAATAATGAAAATAATTAATAAAATAAAAATTAGGGTGTTACAACCACCGTATAGGCCATCTTAATTGAGGTACGGAATGCCTTACAATACAGGAGGTAGAGGAGAAACAAAAGGTTATATATACACAGTAGATCATTTTTATTTGTATTTTAATAGCAATTGTATTGTTTATATTTTTTGAACAAATTATATATCGTGATAATGTTTTCAATTAATTGATTAAAGTTTGAATTTGTATTATTATTTAAATTTATATATGACATTCTTGAATTTACGGTGTTATGGTATCTTTAGTATAAATGGCCTAAAATATAAATTGGCCTAAAAAAATATCAATTCCAGGACAAACTTGTTGTTTGGGCCTGATGTTCTCTAATCTGATGATTTTTTCAGAGATGCAATTCCGAAATACTCGTTGAGCTGTGAAAAATACTCTTCCATCAGCTCAAAACGTTTTTAGAGATTAGTCCAGAAAAACACTCTCATCCTACACAAAATACGAAGATAACGAAAATGGTGTGGATGACTTTTATTTATAAAGTATTGGTGTGTAATTAAGATACGTCCAGATATACACTTCCGTATTTGATAAAGGTAGTTTCGAATTTTCAAAAGGTGATGTTCTCCCTATAGAGTGAAAAAAGTAATGGCAGTTATAAAGTGCCACAAAAATCATTACACGAATACATTAAGTTAATTGTAAACAGAACTCAGAGATTCTATACGAGTGAAGGATTTAAATTCCATAGTTTCTTGGAGTGCACGTTGTGTAATTGGTCATGAAACATCATTTCTAATTGAATTCAATCATTTTTTTAGTAAGTCATCTTAGGAAAAATTAGAGTGGTACATCTCTCAAGCTATCAATTTTGTGGGGGCATCCAAACGTTGCATTTAAGGCGGTGTATCTATTTTTGTGTGTGAACTAAGTATCCTCTATGCCTCTGCAGTGTAGATAGAACTATAAATAAAGTATAAAGATCTTTCTCAAAAGTTTTAAGATTTGGATGATGCATCTTTTTTATTTCATAGTATTCTAAATAAAGTGTATATATATATATCTTTTTTGGTAAAAAAATAAAGTATAATTTTAAATTATGGAAAAATTCTCAAAGAACTGTCATGAGAATTAAATATAGACATGATTAGTGCTAGAATTATTATTAATTTGCGTCTAATTCTCTATCTGTAAACTCTTTATATAAAAATGGTCCAACAGTGGTCTTAATCATAGTTCCAAATCTTGTTTTATTACACAACTTGGAAAAACAGAAAATTTCAAAGCCATCATCATCTTAGTACTTTAATAATCTATTACAAGTTTACAACATACACAAAGTTGGTGTAGTGTAGTGTAGATATACATACAATACATCACACACAGACAATAAAAACCACATTAGCTGCAAAGATTTGGTATACACACCCCACCATCCGGATTCTGCTGTTCTTTCCATATTCTTCCTGTCACTCTAAGTTTCAGTTCTTTCCTATCACCACCAGAGAAAAATAAGGCCATATTTCGTTGAATTATGAGTCCGTCGTGACTATCTCGAACTTTACGGTGGCTGTCGCGGATACTCCGTGGTGTACCTTCCCAAATGAGCTTTCTTCCATTTGCTCCGACTTCGAGGCTATATGTATAGTTTCGAGCGTCGTTCTCATCTCCCATGAAACGAAGGAATGCCATGTAAACCGGAGCCATGCCTAGCTGGAAAGCTTCAAAGTGAAGACAGAAGTATTGGCCGAAACAATGAAATACCTATCAATGAAATACCAAAAGAATAGATTATAGATCAGGCGATTAACCGTCTGATTTTGATCAGGCGATTGTGTTATTGCGTGAGTAATAACCTATAAAAGAAAAAAGATATTTGTAAGCACACTTACGGTGAGCATCCAAGTAGCATTCTCTACATCACGCGGATTTGACTTCACATAACGATGGTTGAATGTGCATCCTGTGTGCATGTCAACCTTATGATCGTCCCTCAAATGTGCAACGAGGAAGTTAATATCCCCAGCGGCGGGGCACTCTGATCCGGCATAAGGACAAGTGTAGGGTCTAAAATTGCATACAGTCTCATGCTTAAGCTTACCGTAGTATGGAAAGATTTCAGGACATCCAAGAGAGTAGTACTTGCATGGTAACTCGAGTGATTCGGCAACCTTCTCTAGAGCCAGACACCGTATATCTCCAAGCTCTTGTCTACATGTCGGACATCGATTGTGCACCCTTGTTTTACATGTGGAACACAATGTGTGACCATTGTGGCACTGCAATAAAGCTATTTAAATTTAATGGGGAAACTCGCAAATCATAAGATACTCAAAGACTATAAATTAAGATACTCGAATATAATATCCATCAAAGATATTATAGAACATTTTATTATACTCTAACACCTCCCCTCAAGCAAAAGTTTACTACACTTTAAACTTGTTACAAATTTACAAATACCGCTTGAAAGTGAAAATATAGCAACTTACATAATCAGACCCAAAAAGGCATCTCTGATAAACCAATGAAGAATGTCAGAACAATTAACTAATAAGATTCAACAAACCACCAAATAACCAACTAGAGAAATCATTACAAACTCTCATGAACAACTATATAAACCAAACTGAATACGCCAAGCGCCAACAATAGCTGAAGTTTAAATCAGAGGGTGTCACAACTTCAAACCGAACCAAAAATAATATTGGAATTGGAACAGTGCCGCGTACTGCAGGTGAAATCCTAACTGAAGGTGTAAGACCTCCAAGCCAAACTGAAACAATAATGGACCAGTGCTAGCCGCAGCTTAAATCCTAATTAAAAACTTAATGATGGTGGTGTGAGTGGAGACGGTGGGATCATAATTATAAACCAAATCAGAATGATAAATTGAGGTTCAAAAATAATTGTGGGATAGACACAAAGTTACCAAAAACACATTTGTGATAGGGGTGCAAAACCTGAAGGAACAAGCCAAAATTTGTAGTTAAGTCAGTGTAGTCAAATTTCCGCCTTGGCATTATAACATGGCGAATTTTGTTCCCACTGCCATAGACCGCAACACCTATTATATCTGTCATATTTATACGGGGGACTTTTGGACGGTCTCCATAACCCACAGTTGATAGCACTGACTCACTGAGCTATGTCTTCTAGTAAAAATGTAGGCACAACAAAGAGAACAAAACCATGGCAAATATCGTGAAAAGTGTGTTGTAAACAACAATTAAACAACATGAACAATAAACAATGTGCGGTAAAATGCGTGAGAAGTTACAAAACAATAGCAAAGAAAGTCCTTCAACACCCCTCAAAAGGTGGAACACCACAGGCTAAAAGTGGTTACAAACAAATCAGAAGGGGAAACAAGTTCAATGAGATCAAAGGCAACAAAATACTGCTCTAGCAAGGTGGCACATACTTTTCCCTTGCCCGAAAACGTCTGAAAATCCTAGGGGCGTGTGGGAGTGCATGAAGTACTCTCATTGGTTTTAGGCTGATTTGTGGATGGCATATCTTCTGGTGTGGTGGCCATTGGCCTGAAACATGCCATCTAACAGCAGAAGACAGTGGTCAACAGAAACAGATTTGCCGGTAAATGTCATCGGAAAGTGTTATGACCGGAAAACGGGGGCTGGAAGAGACAGACACAACACTTTTGCATTTGTAGGCTTGGGCAGTCCTCCCCTTACAAGTTACAAGCATATTTTGTAGGGAAGAATTAAGTTCTAATCTCATACTCTAATATAACCCTAATATTTTCAGTTATAAAAGATTCCTAAACCGAATTCAAGACATCCTAAACTCCCTAAACCCCAAAAGAACAAATCAACTTCACACTAAGTTCATAACACTACAAAGCAATAAAATTCACCAAACAAGTCACAACAAGCATAAAAAAAACAACCTTAACATACAATCGCACACGACAAAAAACACAAACAAGTAAAAAATTGAGTACAAAAAAAACAAACCTGATGAATTGGAGGATACATTGAATTGGTACAAACAGGACATTCCAACAACTCATGAACACTAGTAGCAGGAGCAATAGCTGTAGAACCAATAAGATGATTAACATTATTAGTGTTTCCTCCATTACGAGGTTTCAATGAAGAAAACTCAGAGTGATGATGATGATGATGTTGATGTTGATGAGGGTGAAGAATACGATGTTGGATCTCATCTTCATCCATTCCATCAGAAGATGAAACACACTCAATACTATCCAAGTCCATGAAAATCAAAAAAAGAGAAATACCCCGTTATCAAAATCGAAAATTTCACCGTTTTAATTATCTGGGTATTTCTCTCTCTATCTCTATCTTTTCTTTTCAATTTAAGAACAAGAAAAGGAAGATGGTGGTCATGGATCGATGAGAAAAGCGGATTTTGATGAACCAGACACCATTATGTTCAAGAACATGTTCTTTTCTTCGAGTTCTTTCACTTTCTCTCTCTTACCGAGGTTGTCTCGTGTGTGTAGTAGTGGGAAAGAGAGAGAAAGAAAAGAGAAACGTTGGATTGTGATATTGAATTGTGATTTATTGATCCAACGGTGGATGATTTTTTATTTATTGATATTTGTTTTACTAGTTTTTGAAAAGGTTGGAAACTGACAAGAAAATGAATTCGTAACAATTTTTGAGCTAAAAGTATACACGTGTTTATTATGATGATGATCTGATGAGAGAACAATGAATTGGTAATAAATTTGATTTGATTGAACAGTATCTTTATCTTCTTTTACTTATTACAGTACAATAATTTAATATTCACTAATTATAATAAAAGACAAGATAATAAAACAACAGATTTATAATTTGTTTATTGTTTTAATTTAACTTTTTGAACTTTTTGGCATGTGTTTTTTTAAAAAATTGTTAAAGGTTAAACACTTTTATTATCAACAAAATAAAAATATTAAATAAAGTTTAAAAATTATTTTAAATAAAAAATAGATAAACACTTTTAAAAAATTAAAAATAACTTACTTATAATTAGGATGAGAGAAAATAATGACTTCAAAATAAATGAATTAAAAGAAAGCGCCTCTACATGTAAATTAATTCTTAAATTAGTTGTCTTAAAAGAAGAAAAATATAAAATATATAATTCATGAATTATATAAATATATTATATTGATTTTGGGTTCACTAGTATAAAATAAAATAAAAATTAATTTACACTCTTTTTTTTTATTAGATTATACTCATTAAATTTAATAAAAATTAAGTGTATATTCATCGGATTAGACAGTCTAATGCATTTGCACCTATTTAAAAAACAGATGTAAATACATTTTAAGTTACTCTTTTTAATAAAATTAGGTATAAATTAATTCTTAAATTAGTTGTCTTAAAAGAAGAAAAATATAAAATATATAATTCATGAATTATATAAATATATTGTATTGATTTTGGGTTCACTAGTATAAAAAAAAAGTAATTTATACTCATTTTTTATTAAATTATACTTATTAAATTTAATAAAAATCAAGTGCATATTTATCCGGTTAAACAGTCTAATACATTTTATGTTACTCTTTTTAATAAAAATCAAGTATAAATAGATTATACGTTACACAGTCGGGTGTAAATATGTTCCTAATTACATCCTATTTTAATAAAAATACAAGCGTTATGTACTAACATTCTTGTGTACAACCTATTTTAACAAAAACCATGTGTAATTACCCCTTTTTAAAATAATTTGACACCCTTTTTGAATAAAAATCGGATGTAATTACATCTTGTTTTTTAATAAAAATCGAATATAATTACATCTGTTTTTAATAAAAATCGGATGTAATTACATCTGTTTTAATATAATTTTAATATAGAAGTCATAATATTTCAAATACTATAAAATCACACATAAAAAATTATATTTTATGTACTAAGTCATAATATTTTTCATATTAAAATCGGGTGTAACTACATCCTGTTTTACTATAATTTTACACCCTTTTTAAAAATATAATTTACACTATTTATGAATGAACAAATTATATTATATTTAATTCCATTTAGACCATATTTCATATGCTACATTACACCTTATTTTAGTTATCACATTTCTTCATATTTCATGTACTAAGAAATCATAATATTTCAAATACTATAAAGTCATACACATAAAAAATCATACATGTACTAAATCATAATATTTTTCATATTGATCAAAAAGTACAAAATCATTTTTGTACTAAAAAATCATAATATTAACACCAAAATATTCAACTAACCCACAATATTATATATAATTTTTCTTCTTCTTAGCCATGATGCTAACCATGATGCCTGTTAGAGAGAAAAACATAAAGTTAAATTATGACATTTAAATCCCTGTATTTTATTCAATCTCAATTGCAAGTTCGCAACCATATGTTAGCAATAGATCTCCTATTGTGAGAACCTATTCTAGGAGAAAGTCCATTTATACAATTGGGACTGGTGGCACTGAAAATGGGTAACTATATAAAAAGTAGTTTGTTAGTTTAATTAGGCATGGAATTTATTAAATAGGAACTGGTTGGGTTGGGAGAGGGCAGGCTATCAATTTCCTGCCATTTGTTTATTTTTTTTGTAACTTCTATAAATGCACTGTCAGAATCTAGTTATACAGTTTTGGCCAGACAGAACAGCTGCAGTACTTGTGTATTCGTTATTGTTCATCAATATTTATTATCCTAGCCTATTCAGTATATGCAACTGACTTAGATACCAGTTCTAATAACACCATCGAATTCCAGACAGAAGTTTCGTCAAATATTGACAGTAAAATTGGCTGGCATTTCCATCAAATGTTACCGGTTCTGTTTAAAATCAAAATCAGTTGGAAAAAAAAAAGAGAACGAGCAGGGACCTACCTCCTCAGTAAAGATGAGTCGAATTATATATTAATCTGCTAGTAATAAATAATTCCATACCTTGAATTTCTGAGAACCAGTTATATGAGAACCAGTATGTGTTTCATCAATCTGCAACAAACAAGATGTTTCTTACTTGCGCACTATATGCCAAAATACCAGACAGAAAATGTAGTGAAAGCGAAAAACCATCAATTTTCCAATTGAATACTGGAAAATAACTAGTTCTTACTTTTAAGGTAGCTGATTTTTGCTTTCTTTTCCTGCTTCCTGCATTAAGCTGGTATGCTCCCTCTGCTTTGGGAGCAGCAGCTCCTTTATTAGAAAAAACCTTGCCGGATTTTCTGGAACTGTTTCCAATATCTGTTTCCATTTTAGACTCATCAGCCATATTATGCTTTCCTTCATTGAACTGCGCAGATGATTCTGAGACAGAAGACAGTATATGAAAAATTACAATCATAAAGGATAAAGGAAAACAGTTGTCATCGACTAAATAGATACTTTCCTTAGGGTAAAAAGAGCAAATTTGTAACATATTGTGCCAATTATGAATATCTAAAAGCATATATGAAAGAAAATGATACAGTAAAACAGAACAAAAGAAAGAGAAACAATCAATTAAGTGAAGCGTGTAAATTGCATAAATAGCATAAACTCAGCTGAGCACTCAGTGTGCTTATATTTTGCAATGAAAATCAAACAGAACCAGCACAAAGTTTAACAAATATGGGAAAAACCAAAATGGCAATGAAGCTCGTAACACTTTGAAAAGAACAAAAGGACATTATCACCAACTGAAACTTCTGCTGCTATCTGTGATTGTTTAAGCCATAAAAATAATCAAGAATTTTTACATCAATAAAAAATTCCCAAATAAAACCACTATACCAAATTACAATATGTATGGGCTGTCATATCTTTAATCGTGAACCTTTTTGTATAAGCTATTATACCTGAGGCATGTCACAGAATATACAACTTGGTCAAAGGTTATAGAATGTGGCTCAAAAGGAAGAACCATCCCTGTTTTCTGTCTTACCAAAATTTGGCACAACTGAGAAAGGAGAGTACATCAATGTTAACTGTTCTGGACTGGGCCTGTCCTTGGCCCAACTACCAGTGAGGCCCAATCCAAGCTTACCAATCTGCTGCACTGAGCAGTATACCCACCGAGCACACCCCGATCATAGACATTTGGTCGGCTATGATTGCTTCCTGCCGGTGCTCGCGAAGACTGTCCCCGACGAGCATGCGCTCCCTCCGAGCACCCTCCTCGTAGGGCTGACTTTCAACCTCTCCGGATTTCGCGGAGTCTTCATGGTCCCGGAAAGATCGCGTCTCTATCCTCCCTGTCTTGCGGAGGACGTCATCCAGATGGGGGCCACGTGCGGGTCTTCACTACACACGTAGAACCTGACAGTCTCTTTGTTGGGCCTGTTTGATCAGCCCAATAAAGAGACATTGGTCCAGCGCTGGAGGCTATAAATACCCTCTCTTTCAAGAGGGTTGGGTAATCATCCATTCACACCTAAATTCTTACTTGCTTGCTCATTCCGCCTCTCACTTTGCCATCAGAGTGTCTTGCAGGTACCCCCCCTATCTCATTCAAACTCAGTCCAAAGCCAGCTGTGACGGTCCAAGTCTGATCAGGTCAGATCAGTGATTGTGGGAACCTAAGCTTCCCCATCTTCCCTTCATTTAAAATACCAAAACTAAACAATCATCGACTGTCATGGCTGACCAAACTCAAGACAACCAGAACGTCCGTGTCGTCGACGTTAACAACAACATCGCCGACAATAATGTCGGCCTCGACAACGCCGGTACCGCCGGCCATAATACGGTCCCTGGCGTCAACGTCCCTGGACCTTCTAACTACAGGGACATAGCCACAGCTTCTTCTTCATCAATCCCTCCTCGACTTGAAGAAGATCCACCACTTCTTCTGAACTACTCAGCCGTCCAATTCCACGAGGTCATCGTCCAGAAGCACGATGAGACCTTGAGAGAATTCATTGACCGCTTCAACCGGGAAGCCATCCAGGTCCCCTGCCCAGACCATATGAAGAGATACCTGCTGGAGAGGGGGCTCTTCTCCGGCACCGAATTCAGAAAAGTCGTGGGCATCGAACCATCCTGGACGTTTGATGCCCTCCCTGAAAAGGTCAGGGCCTGCATGGATTACGAGGAGAGAGAAGCGACTAACAAAGCCCTAGACCCCAGAAACCGCGGATCCAGCAACAATCCGCGACAAGATATCGCCCCTCCTCGACGAATTGGAGAAAAGAGAAGGGACGATAAACCCCGAGACGCCCGGGAACAAAGAGGACCCTCGGGGAGATTCACAGAATACACTCCGCTTACGGCTTCCCGCGAGCGCATCTTAGGGGAGTGCGCAAATACAGACTTTAAGGAAGGCGGCGTCAAACGTCCTCGCCCTGCTCCTGCCAAACCCGGGATAGACCGAAGCAAATATTGCCAGTACCACCGGAGCCACGGACACCTGACCGAAGACTGCGTCCACCTCAAGGACGCCATCGAGACCCTCATAAAAGGGGGAAGACTTGCACAATACCGGCGAAACGACACTCCTCGTCGGGATGCCCCTGAGACGAGAGAAGCAGAAGAGGATGTCCGACCATCTGACGAGTCGATTCCCATCCAAACCGCGTTCTCCGTCACAAGACCCGAGGACTTCTACGTCCCCGAACATTTGCAAGAACCTCTGTCTACGCACAGCAGGTGGGAAAACTTCCCCTCCGCCATGGTCATCAATGGTGAAGGGTTCAATGATTTGACCATAAATTCAACTAAGAGGAAGCTGGACGAGCTGGTCGACACGGCTCCTCCTCAAACGGTGACCTTCGAAAGGGTGAAAGACAGATCAGAGTCGATCACTTTCTACCTCGAGGAACTCCCCAAAAGGGCCCTGAATTCGGCCATCCCTCTACTGATAAGGGCGAGAATGGCCAACTTTGACGTACATCGCGTCCTCGTCGACGAGGGAAGTTCCGTGGACGTGATGTACAGCCAGTTGTTCAAAACCCTGCAGCTCGATGACTCTCACCTCTCACTATACGTGGGGTCAGACCTGCAGGACTTCAACGGCTCGACGTCCAAGCCTTGGGGATACGTCGAACTTATGGTCACGTTCGGCGAGGATACCGCTACCAGGCAGGTCAAGGTGCGCTTCCTCGTCATTGACTGCCCATCCCTCTACAACTGCATTCTCAAAAGACCGACGCTGACAGAATTGACCGCGGTGCCCTCCACCGTCCATTTGAAGATGAAGTTCTACACCAAAAGGGCACGGGTCGCCACTATTCAAGGTGATCTGGCAGCTGCCCGAAGATGCTTCAATGCGGCATCCAAGGGACACAACACGGTCGACACCAGCACACGGCCCGCCAAGAAAGTTGCAACTACGCGACCAGAACCTCGGTCAGAGTCCGTCAGAGCATAACAGAGGGCCCCTCCAAAAGTCGACTCGATATCCCTGGACACTCGCTTCGACCAGGACGAGCCCCCCAGCGGCGAGCAAGTCCCCCTCCGACCAATTTCGGACGGGGACTTCGAGCTCGTCCCCCTCGGTGAAGACCCAAGCAGAGGAGTGAAGATTGGCACCAGACTCCCCGACTTGGCGAGAAAGCAGATCAAGGCTTGCTTGAGGGAAAATGCGAATTTGTTCGCATCGAGTGTTACGGAGATGCCCGGTCTCGACCCTGAGATCGCCTGTGTCATCAACTCGCCATTGATCCAGCCGCTAGGGAAATAGTACAACGTAGACGTAGGCAGTCTCCAGAGAAAGCAGAGGCTGCTAAAAAAGTTGTAAAAGACCTCCTAGAGGCAAATTTTATTTCTGAAGCCCGGTATTCAACCTGGCTGTCAAATGTTGTACTTGTCAAGAAAATTAATGGAAAATGGCGAATGTGCGTTGACTACACCGATCTTAACCGAGCATGCCCCAAAGATGCATTTCCTTTACCTAATATTGATATGCTGGTCGACAACTCAGCCGGCTATAAAATTCTATCATTTATGGACGCCTATTCGGGCTACAACCAAATCCCAATGGCAATAGGCGACAAACACTGCACTGCTTTCATGACTAACTCGGACAACTATTACTACAACGTAATACCCTCGAGGTATACATGGACCACATGATCGTCAAGTCCCGAGCAGACACCGACCATGCTGCTCATCTTAGGGAAGTCTTCACCCAAGCGAGGCAATGCAAAATGAGATTTAACCCCGAGAAGTGCACGGTTGGGGTCAAGACGGACAAGTTCCTCGGCTTCTACTTAACAGAACGAGGAATCGAAGCCAACCCCGATAAGTGTCGAGCTTTCTCCGACCTCCCCACACCTACGTCGAAAAAATCCATACAAATCTTGAATGGCATGCTCCCCTCGTTATCCCGTTTCGTTGCAAAATCCGCTCAACACGTCATCCCTTTCTTCAAGCTCCTTCGCAAGGAAGCGGCCTTCGAATGGACCGAGGAATGCGAGCAGGCGCTGCTCCATCTCAAACAAAGCCTCTCGCAGTCGCCCGTGTTATCACGACCAGTTAACGGGGAAACTTGTTTCTATACCTAACCGTCTCGGTCGAAGCCGCCAGCGCAGCCCTCATTTGTGAGACGCACGACAGACAAAAACCCATTTATTTCACAAGCAAGGCACTTCAAGGGCCCGAGGTTAGATACCAACAGATAGAAAAGGTGGCTCTGGCCCTCGTCAACGCGGAAAGAAGGCTCGGGCACTATTTCCTCGCGCAAACGATCATGATGCAAACAGACAAGTCCGTGTAACAGCTCCTAGGTCGACCAGATATGACAGATCGAATGTTAAAGTGGTCCTTGAAACTTTCTGAATTCGACGTCCAATACGAGAGCAGGAAGGCTTAGGCACAAGCTTTGGCCGATTTCGTCGCTGAGATGACCGCTCATAACCCCCCGCAAGGAAAGAACACAAGTGGATCATCTTCGTCGACGGAACTTCCAGCTCGACCGGGAGCGGTGCGGGAATCCTCCTAGAGAACGAGGAAGGCGTGGTGATCGAGCATTTGCTCACCCTCTCCTTTCCTACCTCGAACAACCAGGCAGAATACGAGGCCTTGCTCGCAGGTCTAAGACTGGCCAAGGATTTAGGCGCCCGTGAGATACAAATTTTCACCGACTCTCAACTCGTCGCGTCCCAAGTCCAAGGAGAATACCAGACTAAGAACAACAGCCTCATCGAATATCTGAACTTGGTCAGAGAGCACATGAAAAAGTTCGACCGAGCAGAAATTTCGCACGTACCACACGAGCAAAACACAAGAGTCGACATACTTTAGAAGCTCACAAGCACGAAAAAGAAAGGCGGAAACAAATCCGTCATACAAGAGTCACTATCTCGCCCGAACATCGAAAAATCCACGACTCTACCCGAGGTAAACGCCATCGGAAACAGCTCGTGCTGGATGACCCCGGTATTCAACTTCCTAACGAAGGGGGAACTCCTCCAGGACCAAAGAGAAGCAGCCGCGATCATACGACGAGCATGCTCCTACGTGGTACTCGAGCACAAATTATATCGTAGGGGATTTTCCATCCCACTCTTGAAGTGCGTCGAAGAATCCGCAGTCCCCGAGATATTACGGAAAATACACGAAGGGATCAATGCCCAACACATGGGCAGCAAGTCTAGGAAGGCGCTGCGAGCGGGATATTACTGACCGACAATGCAGCAAGACGCCAAAGACCACGTCAAGAGATGTGACAAATGCCAAAGACATGCCGACATGCACCTCGCCCGACCACACGAGATGAACATATTATCATCCCCGTGGCCATTTGCCTGGTGGGGAATGGACATCCTCGGACCATTCGTGCAAGGGACGTACCAAAACAAATTCCTCATTGTGGCCGTAGATTATTTTACAAAATGGATAGAGGTCGAAGCTCTCGCGAAAATCACCTCGCACAACATCCTCCGCTTCTACAAGCGAAACGTGCTCTCCCGATTCGGAATCCCCCAGGCGCTCGTCACAGATAACGGTACCCAATTCACCGACCAAGGTTTTCAAAGCTTCGTTGCCAAACTCGGCACCAAACAGCATTTAAGCTCAGTCGAGCACCCCCAAACTAACGAGCAAGCCGAGGCCGCGTACAGGGTCATCTTGCGAGGACTCAAGTGCAGGTTAGGCGAAGCAAAGAGGGGATGGGTTGAAAAATTACATAGAGTTCTATGGGCTTACCACGCGACGCCCCATTCGACAACGGGTGAGACCCCATTCCGATTGACCTACGGCACCGAGGCAGTCATCCCGGTAGAAATCATGGAGCCATCTAGGCAAACTGAGATGCCCCTCGACGAGGAGATGAACGACGAGGCTCTGAGAGACGAGCTCGACCTTGTCGAAGAAATCCGATCAGAAGCAGCTATGTGCGAGGCCACTCTGAAACAGCATGTAGCCTTACGCCACGACAACAAAGTCATGAGACGTGAATTTCAGGTCGGTAGCCTAGTCTTGCGGAGAAACCAGAAAGATTCTCGCGAATGAAAATTGGCCGTAAACTGGGAGGGACCTTATCGCGTTCAGGGAGCTACGGACACCGGAGTGTATTATCTCGAACAATTAAACGGAAAACCGTTACTACGACCCTGGAATGCTGCTAAGCTAAAACAATATTATTGCTAAAGCCCCTCACCTGCTGGGGGACTTTTGTCGTCGAATAGTCACCTTCAGGCAACGAAGGGAAAAGCTCGACCACGTAGGCGAGTCGAGGTACGGGCCCGACCTACCAACCAACGAAGACATATTGTCGTTCATTTCGACGAACCAAACATACATGTCCGGCAGGGACACCTCGATCGAGCTCCACTGTCGAAGTACCCCACATGGCAGAACACTCAGCTCGCGATGGGCAGTTCACGCCACGAGCGTAGGATCCCGATCGCGATCATACGCCCGACACACGGATTCCTACTCCGCGCATTCGACATATTTCGAAATGCGTCGAACCGACATAGGGGTCAAACGGATATCTCCTTGCGAACACAAACTTCGTCAAAAATTCATAACCAAGATAACGGTCGGGCATATACGTCATATTATTATCAAATAACCGTAAACAAAGCATTCATCGAATAGACAGTCATAAACAAAGATCAATAATATACCGACAACAAGGGTCGGCGTTGTCCAAAATTACAATCCGGGCACGACGGCCAAAAAACAAAGAATGAAAGCGGGCACGCAGGCCCTAAAAAACAACAGTGGACACGCAACCAATAAAAGCATTAATCACTCCCCAGAGTACCAACGTCGACGTCAGGAGAGTCAAGAGGAGACACAACCCGGCCATCGACGACCCTGGGATAGAACCCCAGTCCCTTCGGTATTCAACACCGGATTTAGCACGGACAGTTGATTCACTGCAGACTCAAAGCCATCGGCCAAAGCGTCAACACAGTCCGACTCCAGAAGTTGAATTCGAACGATGAAGTCGGCCACCCCTTCAGGCTCGTCTTTCGTGGGCAGCATAACAGCCTTCAGATCTTCGACCTCTCTCAACAGCCGTTGGTTGTCACTCTCCAACCGCTCCTTATCAAGCTGGAGGCAGTCTTTTTCCTCAAGAGCTTTGTCGGCCCTTTCCTTCTCCCCCGATAACACGTCGGACTGCTCCTGAAACATTTCCTCGAAGCGTTCGAGAGCAGCCTTCAGTTTGCGGAATTTGGCCACGAGAGTCGCCTTCTCCAACTCCAACTCCTTGACCCGATCCAAGGAATCTGACCCTTCGCCCGCGAGGACAACTGCCATCTCGGCCATTTTCACCACCCCGACCATGCTGGCAGCGAGGTGTTTCCACTGACCTTCCTTGTCGAGCCGCCTGATGATATCGGCCTCGTTGTCAGATACGGTCAAGGGAAACTCCTCAAAGAAATCCTTTTCCACAAAACAGGGTGGCAGGCCGAAGGCCCGGGCACTCACCCCTCCATCGGTCACTTCGACCCCACCTTCAGGTCGACTCCGTTTCTTGCTAATCAAAGCAGATTGACGCTCAATGTCTTGGGAACCCGAAACCCACTAGATCATTTCCTGCCCGACTCAGGGGTCGGACCCATTCGCGTGGCTTGTTGCGGCTTCACCAACCTCTTGCTGATCTTTTTGTCTTGGGTCAGCTTCAGCAACCTCTCGCGACACTCTACCATGTGACCAGCAAAGAAAATGTACTTGGGTTAGCCACATTGAAGAAAACAAATAAAAAGGACTGTCAATAGAGTAAAGCAAGAAACCTAACAGCTTTACGGCCTTCCCGTAAGACTGGCATTCGACGAGCGCCTTGGTGTTGATCGGACATGCCTCGAACGTCGGCTCGCCATCCTCATCAAGAACGTCGTCCCCTTCCCTCATAACCCACCGAGCAGGAAAGAAACCATCGACAAATTTGTTCAAGACTCCATAAGCTTCCTCGTCCTCAGCGCTCATACCGCCAGCTGGAGTGTGGCAGTATCCAGGTCCATGGTCGTAATGGCCCGAACACTAGTGGATGGGAAACTTTGAGACTTCCCAATCTCGGGATTACCCTCGGAATCCAAACACGGTTCTCCATCCTCCTCCACCACAGCAACCGGCTCGAACAGCGAATCCACGACTGTCTGAGTAGACGGTTGCAAAGTATACCACTTATCCTTGAAATCTCGCACAGAATCCATATACATCTTAAACAGCCTCTTCGACTGCTTAAGGGACACCCAGCTGTGCTTCCCTCCCCGGGACTGTCGTTGCAGGTGAAAAACCCTAAAGAACAGAGGAATTGTTGCCCCGATCCTCAGAAAGCGGCAGGTGAGTTCGAATGCCCGGATAAAGGCAATCGCGTTAGGATGGATCTGGGAGGGGGCCAGGTTCAAGTGATTGAACACTCCCATCTGGAAGTCGTTGAAAGGTAACCAGAGCCCGAGATCTTTAAATACGATCTCGTACATAGGAAAGGTGTCTTGTGTAAACTCCGAGCAAATGCGGGCATCCCTCGTCGGCCTCATGATCTTAAAGTTTCTCCGAAATCCCTCCTGGCCGCCGCCGTACTCGACGACAGTGTAAGCTTGTCTACCGGTATAGCTATAGATCAAAGTTATTCCTCGGGATTCCGCACCAACCCAGTCCAGGGTAGGGTCGTCGACGGTGTCGACCAGATTCATGCTTTCCTCGACAGTGCTTGTTTCCTCGGTAATTACGCTCCGAGGACTCGGGAATATCGGTCATTTACCTGCAAAGTACAGGAAACCGGTGAATTCGACAGCAAATCCGCTTTTCCGTCACACAGACGGGGAGAAGTAAGCAACACTCAGGTCGAGTCAACGGCCATTCGCACGAAAGACGGGGAACACGTGGACCTCGACCAAACACCGACCTTAACGACAGACGTATATCAAATCATAAATGTCACGAACATAGCATGAATATCGCGAGCAAAGGATGAAATTCACGACCAAGTTCATAACCTTGCTAGCCAGATACAAGAATACCACGGGGAAAACTATAGCCTACATACTAACAAAAGGATGAATCCCCCGACCAAGTTCATAAATCTATTGGCCAAACGCATGAATATCACGGGCACGATCATAAACCGTATGCCTAAACCTATGAATGCCGCGGGCATGATCATGAATCAGACGCCTAAAGTGCTTGAATTTCCCGGGCACAATCCCCAGGCACGAAATTCTACCACTAAACACCATCAAAATCTATCTACAACTCAAGATAGCACAGGAAAAGAACACTTACTTGGAAGAAGAGTGAGGAGCGACGGTTGTGGAGATGAACACGCGGCGGACGGTGCGGCGGTTTCAGCGACACTAGGAAAACACGTGGTGTTGACGGCAGAGAAAATATGAGAGCTTGAAAATGTGAAAACAAGTTATGGGCCCTGAAGCCCTATTTATAGAGATGACGTGGAATGCGAAACGTCGCGTCGGGGAATCACAAACCGCCTTCATCCTCGACACCTACTCGCGTAGGCAATGATGACCCCTACTCCCTAGGCTGCCATTGTGGATTCCAAGAGCCACGCCACGTGTCTGACTGGTGTATCACCCTCTCCCCGCGAGTACTCCTCTAACACACTTCGACCATTGCACGAAGCAAATCACGAACCGAGCGACGTCTCACGTCCACGATTGAAAAACCCTGAGTCGCGCAACGACTTGGGGGGCTTCTGTTCTGGACTGGGCCTGCCCTTGGCCCAACTACCAGTAAATCACGAACCGAGCGACGTCTCACGTCCACGATTGAAAAACCCCGAGTCGCGCAACGACTTGGGGGGCTTCTGTTCTGGACTGGGCCTGCCCTTGGCCCAACTACCAGTAAGGCCCAATCTAAGCTTGCCAACCTGCTGCGCTGAGCAGTATACCCACCGAGCACACCCCGATCATAGACATCTGGTCGGCTATGATTGCTTCCCGCCGGTACTCGCGAAGACCGTCCCCGACGAGCATGCGCTCCCTCCGAGCACCCTCCTCGTAGGACTGACTTTCAACCTCTCTGGATTTCGCGGAGTCTTCATGGTCCCGGAAAGATCGCGTCTCTATCCTCCCTATCTTGCGGAGGACGTCATCCAGGTGGGGGGCCACGTGCGGGTCCCCACTACACACGTAGAACCTGACAGTCTCTTTGTTGGGCCTGTTTGATTAGCCCAATAAAGAGACATTCGCCCAGCGCTGGGGGCTATAAATACCCTCTCTTTCGAGAGGGTCAGGTATTCATTCATTCACACCTAAATTCTCACTTGCTTGCTCATTCCGCCTCTCACTTTGCCATCGGAGTGTCTTGCAGGTACCCCCCATCACATTCAAACTCAGCCTGAAGCCAGTTGTGACGATCCAACTCTGATCAGGTCAGATCATTAACAATGGTGGATGACGATCATGGCTGAAAGCCAAAAACCTGCCATCTTTCACAAATTGGCCATGACGGTTGTATAAACCTGCCTTTGCAACCCGTCATGGTCTATATTTGACATCACTGGAGTACATAACATCAAAACATGCTGAGGTGTTTTAAATGGAAGCTGGCCAACTAACAACATTTGACACAACTTAGACAAGACATTATATAATCAAAAAAACATTATTTAGTGTTTTAGATGGAAGCTGTCTACAAGAATAGTATATGAACTGAAAATATTTACTACACTGGATTTTATTTTTTAGAATCCTGCATAAGAAATTAACAATCTTCCCAAGTTGCATTGGCCATATATAAGTATTGGAATACTTTACATCACCATATCTAAATTCAAAATGTATTAACCCTAACTCAACTCAGAAAAACCATCATCTAAACAGAAAAAATATGGCTTAATTCATCATAAGTCACTTAATTCACAAAAAACTTAACTTGGTCGCTGAATAAACTATTTATCAGTAGTAGATAATATATATAGAAAGAATGAAAAAGAGACTTACTCACCGTGACCAAGGCAACTCCAAAGCTCTGAAAATTCCTTTGGCCCTATAACAAAAAAAGCAATTAAAAATCGAAATCAATAAAATTCCCCCAAAAATAAAACAATTTCAGAAAAATAAGAAGTGACTCATTGGGATGTTTAAAGAGAAATAAAGACGAATAGTCCTTACGGCGTACTTATCCTTCCAACTTGGTGCAGAATATACATTTTGCAAATGAAACAGAACAGTCTACATTTAAAAGACTCAAAAATTAGGTGAGCATATTAGTCATCAAAACCCTTCCTTAGGAGACACTAACCACATCTTTAGGAGATGGCATATTATCTAAAGACCTATACTTGGAAATTAAAACATTTATCAAATTATGAGCATAGCAGTGAAATGCTTCAGAAATGAAACAGATTCCAAAACTTGCGATAGGAATAAACCTGAAGGTCTAATGTTTAAAACAAAATATTTGTACATAAAGCTAGTTCAATCACTTTCATTTTAGATTATAACAAAGAAAAAAACAAAATGTCTGGCTGTCAAATTCAAATTTGATAATCAATGCAACTTTTTTTTTAGGATAACTCCCTATGATGTGAGAAGTTCTGAGTAGGCCAGTCTTTTACAACTTGTTTACTTTGCAAGGTAACTTCAAATTAAATTACAAAGATTTTGTTTCTTCTTTCCAAGCAACATGCAAGGATTAATACATCTATTCATATTCATTTCCTAATAAAATTATCAATGACATTATAGCACTAACGTGAAGGACACAAACTAATCAACAAGCAAACAAACATGTTCTTAATTGTGGCCAAAATATACATTTAAAGTAGTAGTAACAGTAATGAAGAAATGATTTATATAGGCCTAAACAAAAGCTATATATAATTATATTTAACTAGCAGAAGTGAAACAATGTGATTAAAGCTAAAAGCTCACACATAAAATAAATGTTGAAACACAAATACAAGGCCACTCTATTATTGATGTTGCAGAACTTTTAGAGTGATGATTCTTATGATTGGTGCTTTCACTGCCAGCAACTCCAGCGCCGGAAACTCCAGCGGTGGATTGATCTTCCAAATTTAGTAGAATACATGAGTAGTGGTGGCATAAAAAGAGGTTAAAGTGATAACATGTCATTCGTATAATTTTCATTTCGTCACATAAAGCAATTTTCTTAGAACTAAGAAATGGGTAACATACTAGTTCTAAAAGTTGATTTGCACTCAAAAGACTAGGGAACTCCATGAACAATCCTGGATTTTCTTTTATTTGACAATCAAATACTTCGGGAATATAATCATCATCAGCTGAAACAAATGAAGCATCCTGTAAAATGCAAAAATAATTACATCAGTAACCACTCACAAGCATATATGTAAACAAAGTATCAAAATATAATCAGTTTCTACTAGACACACCTTTTTTGGCATATTCAATGGAAATCCAAGTGGGCACATATCATCTAGTGAGAATTCTTTTAGCAGATCTTCCCTTAACGAGGATAATTCAGGCTGCACTTATGGAAACAAGTTTATGATGCGTAGAAATGCAAAAGAAAAAAAATCCTTACACTGTCCAAAATATATCGCCATTTATATAACACAAGTAGAAGCCTTACTTCTGATATATATTCCAAGCTCTTGACGATTTCTGAAACAATAGTTCTGAAATTGTGCATAAGGCCCTATTGTCGTCGTCTTTAGATCCATAGATGATAGTCAGATTGTATGGTGAAAGGCTTACAGCTTGTTGTCTTCAATCAAATGAAGGTAGGGGTCAAACCTGTGCCAGAATATGAAAAAGTTGAAGTGATATAGTTATTTACTTCGATTAATCACTTAAAGAACATAAAATTAGAGAAGAGAAGCTCAACACAGGTTCTCTGGAATCATAGTATTTCCTTTTATGCATAATCTTGTAATTTAGGCATAAGCCCAACTCAACTCCATAAAAGTAACTTGTAAGATGAGGAGAGCCTAAACCTTATAAGCACTTTAAAATGCATCATAGTTATCATATAAATGCTTGACATTGACACGTATCAGACACAAATCAAATCACAATTAATATCTACGAAACACAATATGTTGAGTGCTACATAGATCAAATGCCAACCCGTGTAGTTACATTCAATCATTTTCATATTCTCCAATTGTCGACTTGCAGATTTTCATTTTCTAGTGTCGAGTTGTATGTGTCTGTGTTTGCATTTGTGATGGAAAAATTGAAAGGCTACTAGCTAGAGGGTACCTGAGTAGAAGCCAAAACAGTGCCGGCACAATCAGCATGAGCAAGCTTTGATGTACAACGAAGAATAACAGCAGGAAGACCAGTCACAATATTCCTCAAATCACCATCGCGAAAATCCCTCTTCAAATCAGCAGTGAAAGATTCTTGTTCACTCCATTCACGCACCGACGCATCAGCTACCCAAAGCTCAATAATCCTCGCATGCGTTTTCTCCTACAGGTGAAACCCTAGCTACGAGTTCTTTCGATTCTTCTTCGCTCAGAAAAGGAATTAGGTTTACGACTCCAATTTCTTCTTCCTCCGTCCACGGTACGGCTTCGAGATAACTCACGCACCACCGGACGCAGTCTTCGAAGAGCAATTCGAGTCGCTTTCCGCCGCGTTTGAGAAATCGTTCGTGTGGAGAAGTTCCAGGACCGTGAGATGGTTCTGGATCCGATTTGGAACGATGGAAAGAATCTTCTTCAACGATTGGATCCTTTGTGTTGCCGGTTCTCGACGCCATGGAAAAAAGAATGAGATGGTGAAATTGAGAATGCACGTTGAGAATGTGAAAGGGGTTTTGATTTTTTGAGAACGTTGAGAATGTGAAAGGGGTTTTGATTTTTTGAGAACGTTGATATCGGAGTATTGAGTTAAGATCATTAGAATCAATCACTGTTTGTTTCAATAGAATCAAATGTTTTTGTTAATCTATTTTATTTAGAATATTAACTTGATAAATTTACACTCATTTAATTTCATAATTAATACTTAATAAAATAAATTATAGTTCATAAATGTGTTTTTGATTAATATTTCAAGTTATAAAATTGAATAATTTTTTAGTCTATTTAAATTTAGACTCCATTTTAAATTTAACGAGAGTAATTAAAATTTGATTATAATAATATTTTTAATTTATATTTATTTTTAAAAATATAGATAAATTATCCTATATTAATATTTAAAATAATATTTTATTTATAAAATTATCACCATATATTTTATTTATATTTATTTTAAATAAATCAAATGTAAATTTTAAAAAAAATTCATTAGTGGTTTTAAATTTAAAAATACTTAATAATATATGAAATAAAATAAATTATTAGAGCCAATATATGATATGAAGTAAAAAATAGGGTTAGTAACACTTTTATATTTTATCTTCTATTATAAGTTTTTTTTATTAAAAATAATATTCATTCATTCAAATCGATAAAATATATCAAATAAATATAAATTTAAAATCGTTATAAACTAAAAAAAATTATAAACAAATTCACAGCATTCATATTAATAATATTTATAAATTAGAAATTAAAAATAGTACAATATAATTCAATCACAGAATTTATTTAAAAATATAACTATCATTTAATAGAATACATAATATTTGGTTGATAATATAAAATTATTTATACTGACATGTACATATTCTTTATCTTTATATAAGATGTATGATTTACTTCTATTTTATTCTTATATAAAAAAAAATCAACTTTGTTATTTAAAAAATTTATTATTTTATATTTTTTAAGAGTAGTCTAATTAGAAAAACACTTATTTAACGTATTAGAAAAATTATTATTTGTATATACAGTCTGATGAAAACTTAAAAGAGAAAGATAAATTTCGTAATAGAGAAGATTGTATTCAAGTCATAAAAAAGTTTCACATGCTAAACTCGGTTGATTTTAAGGTAGATCGTGTAAATCCAGAAAGGTACAAGCTCAGGTGTGTCCATTCAGATTGTATGTTCAAACTCACTGCATCATACAGATTAAGAGGTGATTGTTGGGTGATAGGTTCTATGTCCACCCACACGTGCGTCAATTCTACTCAATCACAGAATCATCGGAAACTAAATTATGATCTCATATGTCAAGAAATCTTATTCTCGTCAGCAATGATCCATCATTGAAGGTGAAAACCATAATCTCTCACATCACTACGGTATATAATTATACTTTGTCATACCGAAATGTGTCGTTAGCAAAGACCAAGGCGATTGAAAAGGTATATGAAAATTGGGAGGAGTCATACAAAGAACTTCCCTGCTACTTGCATGCACTTCAGACTTATTCTTCGGGTATTGTTTATATTATGGAAACACTGACAGCGTACGTCCCAGATGATACTCATGTCACCGGAAATGGAATATTCAATCGAGTGTTATGGGCTTTTCAACCTTGCATCACAGGGTTTGCGTCATGCAAACCTATTATTCAAATTGATAGGACTTGGTTGTATGGGAAATACAAAGGCACGCTACTGATGGCAGTTGCACAAGAAGGCAATAACAACATTTTCCCAATTGCCTTTGCTCTAGTCGAGGGAGAGACTGGTGGTGCTTGGAGTTTCTTTCTCAGGAATCTCCTAACACACGTGGCTTCTCAACCAGATATCTGTTTAATCTCCGATAGACATGCATCTATTGAGAGTGCATACAATAATCCTGTAAACGGTTGACATGACCCTCCTTTTACGCATGTCTACTGCATTAGACATATGTACAAAATTTCGCGAGGGAGATCAAAGACAAGGCTCTTAGGAAAGCAGTTATGAACGTGGGGTATGCATTAACACAACCTATGTTCAAACACTATCGCAACGAGATCAGATTGTCAAATCCGAACGCATGTAGGTGGATTGATAATATTCCGATGGAGAAATGGACAAGGTCATACGACAATGGACAACGATTGAGCCACATGACAACAAATCTTATTGAATCCATGAACAGTGTATTCAAAGGCATACAAAACCTCTCAGTAACTGTTTTGGTTAAATCAACATATTTTAGGATGGATTCGTTGTTTGCCAAAAGAGGTGAAATATGGAATGTTGTCTTGCAATCGGGACAACTATTGAGTGAAAGTTGCATGAAGTATATTAAGGAAGAAAGTGCCAAAGCCAACGCTCATCTGGTTATAAAGTTCGACCGACACAACCACAACTTCATTGTCAAAGAGACAATCGACCACAACTAGGGGCTGCCAGGACAAGAGTATGGTAATACTACCATCTCGTTGGTGCGATTGTGGTAAGTTTCAAGCTTTTCGTATGCCTTGCTCTCATGTCATTGCGGCATGTGCGTATACTCATCAAGACGCATTACAACTTCTATCTCTCATTTACAAGTCTGAAACATTGCTCAACATATACAACAACAACTTCCCATTGGTAGCGAAACCTGATTATTGGCCTGCATACGACGGTGAAATAGTAGGGCACAACGATCAAATGCGGAGGAATAAAAAGGATCATCCCAAAAGCAAGCGTATCACAACTGAAATGGACTCCCTTGACAAGCTAGAAAGAAAATGTGGTTTATGTCATCAGGTCGGACACAATCGAAAAAATTGTCCTACTCGGGCTACTAGCTCAACAACATAAAAATTATATGCAAACCATCTTTACTTTTTTAAGTTCTAAACATTACAGTTTTTCATTAAGAACATTTGTTACAACAAACCTCACGCAAACAACAAATAAAAATACTATAAAACGTCTAAGAAATTACAACCGTCAAAACAATTTCATCTGACCCATGCATCATCAATATTACGTCTCCGTCTGTTTTGACTTCCTCTAACCAAAAATTAGGTCTTCTAGTTGCAAGTGAGGTGGTTGTTCTTCTTCGCTGGATCCTTCTAATTTGTTCCTCATCCTCGATGTCTCCCTCTAGCCATCGCATCAACTCTCTCTTCACATACTTTATGGAGTGAATGTATTTTCATCGGAGGTTTGGTGGCCGAGAAAATAACGTATCCATCTCTGGTGAAAATCATGGGAGATGTCACGACGCAAATAACAGAGAAAAAATTAGAAGACAGTGCGAGAAAGTGTGAAGAATGACGGAGAATCAGGTCATTTATTTAAAGAATGTGCATTGCCCTAGGCACCAAGTGAGATGGCGACTCCTCTCACATTTTAGTGCATGCACCATCTCACTTGACTAAAAGTGAGAGCATGCGTCAAGTGAGATGACGCCTAGAGCATAATGGTAGGTACATGCGCTAACTGGGTTGACTTCTCTTTTGTGAGATTTTCTGAAACATGGTTATTTGTGGGATTTTTTTTCAAAATTTAGTTATTGCAATTTTTTTTCAAAATTTAGTTATTAGAAGCATGGAAATAATATAACTTTCAAAAGTTGTTTTCAATGGCGTTGCCTTACTCACTTAATTAACACTTTAGTTTCCATATTATTTTTTTAATAATTAATTATTTTTCAAATGTATTTTTTTTTAAAGACGCTTGTCTTGTGGGAGAGTTGTTTTCTTTTGCATAGTATATCAAATTGGATCAAATGAATAAACAATATATTTATTATTTATTTTTATATTTTTTTTTGTTAGTTTGTGATTTACATACACTGAATTAATAGATTGACTTTTATTTGAGATCGTTTAGTATGGTTTTCATTGTTTTTTTGTCTTAAATATTATTTATTTTTTTGTGTTAAATCTTTGATTATTTTATTTTTCGTAACAAGTGGTATTCATCTAGGACAAAAAGTATAAATTTATAAGTGATACCAATGTTTTTAATGAGATATCAAGAAACTTTTTAAAGACAACGATTTTACATTGTGGAAAGAGAATATACAAGAAATTATGATTTAACAAAATTGTACAGGAGCATTGAAAGGTTAGACAAGGATGCTGGCAATCTTGATATGAGGAGAGAAGATCAAAATGGTTGATAAGGTTAAGAGTTTCATTTTCTTGTATCGTAGAGAAATGAAATATTGAAGGAATTTGAAGGGAGAAGACTCCAGAAGTGTGGATCGAACTTGAATAATTGTATGATTGAGTCTTGAACAAAACTCTCCATTATACCAAAGATCTTGGGGGACAAACTCTAGATTTTTCTGGATGAAACCCCTCACAATTCTCAACCCAATATTATCGGTTGCACAAAAACCTAATTGGACGTTATCAAACCTTGCCTATATGGCACCCTGACAAAAGTTGATTATGTGTGATTTATCAATGTGTATGCTTAGGTTGGAGGTTGAAGGTGAATAGCAATGATGGTAAGTTTTTATAGTTTCATCAAGTTGAAATGATATATGAATGATGTATTTATAGTTGTGGAAGTTTGAATGCAAAGAGGTAATTTTCGGGATAAAAAAGAATTGAAAATTTGACTCATTCAATCAGTATGTGTCGACCTGAAACACGGATGTGCCAGCACATAGACACAAAATCAGTAGTATGTGTCGGCCTATGAAGGAGTATGTGGCGGCCTAAGCAAGTTAGTGGCTACAGACTTCATTACGATAGTAAATGTGTTGGTCTATACATAGCATTTGTCGGCCTATGCCCTAAGGACTCCACGGGTTTTATTATTGAGTTGTATGTGTCGGCCTGAAACACGTATGTGCCAGCACATGTAGTGCATTTTTGTGCAGAAAAATATTTTTAATGAATGGGACCAATTTCAAACATGTTTAAGATGATTCCTAAGACCTCTAAATGCATTGGGTGCCACACTAACTCAGAGATATTGTCC